GGCTATCAGCAAAGTTTGTCAGGGCTCTAGCTTCTTTTCTCTAAGACACTTCAGCTTTGCAGTGCTCCAAGTATTGGCTTTGTCTTTAAGCTAGCTCCCCTCCTGCTCATCAAGATAAAAACAGCAGTTGCAGGCATCATATTCAGATGCAACAAAGTCAAAAGAAGGAAAGGAAGTGCCCTTCACTTTGCCTCCTTTTTAAAAGCGAAGAAAACTCACCTAGAAGCAGCTGGCAAACTTCCCCTCAAGCATCACTGACCAGTTGGCAACATAATCCCATGCCTACTATAATCACTGGCAAGGAGACCACACCACCATGACAGGTACAGCCACCTTTCAGGGGCCTTAAATGGGGCTAGCGTCTCTGAAACAGAGGGCAACATCGGGAGTTGCTTTTTTTTTTTTTAGAGAGAGACGAGGTCTTGTCATGTTGCCCAGGTTGGTCTCAAACTTCTGGGTTTGGGCCATCCTCCTGCCTCAGCCTCCCAAAGTGCTGGGATTTCAGCCATGAGCCACCAAACCTGGCCAGGAGTTTTAATACCTGAACAAAACTGGAGTTCTGTTAGAAAAAGGAATGGGGGCTGGGCACAGAGGCTCATACCTGTAATCTCAGCACTTTGGGAGGCCAAGGTAGGTGGCTCACTTGAGCTCAGGAGTTTGAGATTAGCCTGGGAAACATGGCAAAACCCCGTCTCTACCAAAAAAAAAAACACAAAAAAACTACCTGGGCATGGCGGCACATGCCTGTACTCCCAGCTACTTAGGACAGCAAGGTGGGAGGATCACTCGAGCCCACGGAGGTCGAGGTTGCAGTGCGCCATCATTGTCCCACTGCACTGTAGTCTGGGTGACAGAGTGAGACCCTGTCCCAAAAAAATAAAATTAAATTAAAAAATGGAGGAATGGGAAAAGGATGTTGGGTTGACATACAACATTGTCTACCATAATGCATTTCCTAACTTTCTCGTCACAGTATATTGCCATTACTAGCCAACTTGGACTCTTTAAGATTACACTACCAAAAATATTCAGGTTAAGTCAGACCAGTTCTTATGCCTATCTCCCACCAACAAATTATAACCGAAAAAGCAAATGCGTAGACTAGTACGACACATCTACACGAAGTAGACAGCAGATATGTACAGCTCTCCCCATCCTCCACCTTGCCCATGGAGACTTCATTCTAGACACATCACTTTAAACTTTATATCTAGCCACCTAAGTTAACCCTTGTATAAATAAGAGAGAACTCCTCTGAGTAAAATATGTGCTATTTTAAAGCTGAAACTCATTTCTTACTTTATAAGCATCAGATCATTGAGGAGCATTCGGAGGAAGCCACTGGGCCCTTTATATATTGTGTAACTGACTATGCAATAATAAATCCAGTGGGGAAGAAACCGTTTTTCTAACTGGTATCTGCTGCTGGCAGGCCTGCAAGCGCCCACCAGGATCTCTGTATCCCATAGCTCTCAGCTGAAGCACTGACTGTCCAGTACTTTTCCGACCCTCCACAGGACTTCTTATATGGGAGAGCTTTCGGGTTTGTTTTCTTTTTGATTCATTAAAAATTCAAGGGTAATTTTTAGAAGGAAATAAAATTATTGCTTAAACAGGAAAACACGTTGTGGGGTTTTGGGTTTTTTTTTTTTTTTTTTTTTTTTTTTGGTTTTGGTTTGGTTTGGGTAAATTTTTTAAACGATAGTTTAATTTCAGGCATACCAAAAGCTTTAAAGAAAAAGAGGCCAGGCACGGTGACTCACGCCTGTAATCCCAGCCCTTCGGGAGGCCAAGGTGGGAAGATTGCTTGAGCCCAGGAGTTTGAGACCAGCCTGGGCAACATGGCAAAAACCCCATCTCTACAAAAAATACAACAATTAGCTGCACATGGTGGCACACACTTGTAGTTCCAGCTACTCAGGAGGCTGAGGTGGGAGGATCACCTGAGCCAGGGGAGGTCAAGGCTCACAGTGATTGCACCACTGCACTTCAGCCTGGGTAACAGAGTGAGACCCTGTCTCAGAAAACTAAAAAAAGAAAAGAAAACATGGCATAAAGAGAGAAGAGCACCCAAACTGACCACTGATGCCTGGAATCTATGAGCTTTCTTCCTCATTTATTAAAAAAAAGATAGGTTGGGCGCGGTGGTTCACGCCTATAATCCCAGCACTCTGGGAGGCCGAGGTGGGCGGATCATGAGTTCAGGAGATCGAGACCATCCTGACCCATATGGTGAAAGGCGTGGTGGCACATGCCTATAGTCATAGCTACTCGGGAGGCTGAGGCAGAAGATCGCTTGAACCAGGGAGTCGGAGGTTGCAGTGATCCGAGATCGCGCCATTGCACTCCAGCCTGGCAACAGAGCGAGCCTCTGTCTCAAAAAAAAAAAAAAAAAAAAAAAGATCATTTTAGGTCAGTGCTAAAAGCATCACTTAAGACGAACATATGACACGGCTCATGTGATCACAAGTTGGTCTCGGTATTATTTATTAATAGAAACATCTTATCAAGGGACATTACTGAAAGGCCTCTAGAAACAATCCTAAAAATTTATTCTGTTGTAAGAAACATGAGCATTGTTCTAAAACTAACGTCTTTAGAAATGAAGTCACTCCTTAGAATAGCTGATATATCTTTACCTGGAGATTAACTAAATCCTAAGAAACAATGTATTATCAAAACATCCATATGACGCAGGTGTTTTCAGGCACCCAAGGAATGGCAGCTATTAAATGATTTGTCTTGAAGTAAAGGCTGATTCAGCATCAGCAGCATACAGCTGCTCATAATGCATACAAACCAAAGTTAACAAAAGTCACTCAAAATATATTGACTAGCTACTCTCCTTGTTAGCAAAGTTTATCAAGCTTAAAAGAAAGTTATTGTCTCAGCTTCAGGAGCTTTCAAATCTGTATTTCCCTGATGACTACTTTATGAGAAACAGGTCATAAAAGTATATTTAAACTTTACTGTCATACTTTCAATTGTTTTGCTTACAATTGAATCAAAGCTTGAGAATATCTATAGGTTAAAAAATGGGCAAAGAGGTAAAGATAAGGCTATGAGTTTACTCAGGAACCTGGGCTTTAAAACCATCAGGAAATCACAGCCCCGTGACCCTCATTTGCTCACGCACTAACAATGTACAACACCATGCATTTTTCCAAGGTTCTTTTCTCTTTTAGCAAGACTAGCATTCTCACATGAAGCGATGACTCTTTTTCTCTGGAGGTATTCTAACTTTAACTCTTCTCTTCCCTCTCCCACTACACATACCTTGCAAGTGCCCTCCTGAATAGAGAATGAAGAGAGAAAGCTGAACAAGACTGGGGGACGTAATGACTGTCACACCATATGCTATAGGTTTACTCATTCAAACACATGCATCACAAGTTTTTCACTTGCCCTAACTCCCTCACACTTTTGTATGTGTAATAATTTAATAGCTTTCAGAATAAAGAAGGTAATAAATGTTCTTATTATCTGAGTACAATGTTTGCATCAATAGCAACAAATGGCATGGCCAGGAAGTCTTCTTTAAGCAAGTTAATCCTTCACATTTCTTGACTTCAAATGATTAGTGTACACATGGCCATGCTTCCAGGTTAGGTGCTCCTAAGCTTTCCAGTGAAATAAAGTCTTATATAAATGCCTTAAACACAACTTGCTAACATCCAAATGCAAGCCCTTTCTCACTAAGTTCTGCTAGATTGCCCTTTCAGTCCCTATGCACTGGTAATAGAAGCATGTAACCACACTTTTAAGACTAAGGCAGGCTTCATTTATTTCTTTTAAGCTTAGTTCAGCTGTTTTACTAATATAAATAAATCATCCATCTTTTCCCCTTTTAACAAACAAAAGCAAAGAGATATTTGACAAAGTGTTATCCCCATTGTTGATCTTTTACCTCCAAAAGCACCAGAGCAGGAATCTGTAAAATCAACTCCGTTGCTCTTCAAGTGCCCTGATTTGATATCCTTTTTAAATGGTCTTAAATGTGGTGACTGAAAACAAATATGGAATAAGAACAACAAATAAATGACTTCCTCTTAGGAAAGGATTCAAGGGCCAAAGAGACCTAGAGTTTAATACCTAGTCTGGAAGATATTTCTGAAGCCGAGGGTGGGGGATCGGGCGGCGGGGCAGGGGAAGAACAGTAAATTGGTAAGATAATCAAATGTTAGGTAGCGGTTGAAGGCAAGGTTGGGGTGGGGGGTGAGAAGAGGGGAGGCCAAATACACCCAGGAAATAAAGGAGATAACAGTCAGGACTTCCTGCAGTTTCAGTTCGGTTTGGGTTGTTTTGTTTTGTTTCTGCCTCACGCTCTCTATTGAGTCCCCACATCTCTGAGGGTCTCCCTAAATGAGTTTCTCCCCATCTATAACTTTCGCGACAGTTACAAAGCACGCCAGTGTTCCTCTTTTGCTTCCCTCTCTCCGGGGCGGGAAGGGAACGGCATGATATTGTCCTTTCTGACGCTGATGAAATCATCCTGCAAGTGCTACGGTGCAGTGCGAGCGAAGCTGCAGCAGACGCCTTGCTTTCCAAAGCCAGACCAACATTACTAAGAGGGAAATTCTCCTTTAGCGGCCGGGAATCCCCAGGGGTATCTCTAGAAACGCGGGATATCCCCGTTGCTCTCTTGGCGGCCAGTTCAGAAACCGCTCAGAACTCGGTCCAGAGCAAGTACCGGACGGCGAAGTGCGCCGGGCGGGGGCGTCACTGACCCCGAGGCGGAGGGAGCGGCGGAGGCGCCGGCGTCCCCACCCGCATCCTGCACCTGCCTCGCTCCCAAGCCCTCGGGGTGCCGGGTCCACACCTGCGTCGCAGCGCGCCGGCTGGGGCAGGAAACCCGGCTCGCGCCGGCGGGCTGCGGTCGGGGATCCCCGCGCGCTGCAGGGAGAGGGCCCCGGGCGCGCCCCTTGGGGCCCCGACAGCGGCAGCCAGCCTGTTGCAGGGGTCAGGGGGCTCCCCAGGCCCCCGGGCGGGGGGTGGCGTACCTCGGATGTAAGCGCACTTGCCCTCGTCCAGCTGGCTGGAGGCTGAGCCGCCCATGGCCGCGAGCCGCCGCTGCTGAGCTCGGCAACTGCCCGGCCCGCCCCCGGGGAACTGGCCGCTCTGGTCCGCGCCCGCTGCTTGCTCCTGGAGTTGAGCCGACGGCGAACCCGGCTCTGAAATTAAGAGCAAACTTCCTTCGAGAGGCGAGAGGCAAGAGGCGTCGCCTTCTGGGGCGCCTCCTCCAGGTCCGCGCCTTCTGAGGATCCGTGGGCCGGCCTGGGGGCTGTCTTCCCGCCCTCGCCTCGCTGGTGAGCTCCGACGGGCTGCCCAACCGAGGAGGACGGCCAGCTCCTCCTCCTCGCCCACGGTCGCTTCTTGTTTTCATCCGGTTGGGGCATCCAAGAAACACCTTGGAGGAAGTGGGCCATTTCTCAAGTGACTGTAAATCTCTGTGAGCTGAAACTTTCCCAGCTCACATCCTTCAAGGTGGAGCTCAAGATCCCGTTGCCTTGTAAGTGTGCCTGTCCAAGAAGAAACAGTTCTTCCCAAGCATTACCTGGGAGCCTGTTAGAAATACAAAATCTCAGCGCCTTCGTCCACCATCCCTCTACACACACACACACACACACACACACACACACACACACACACTTAGAATCTCTGGGAGTGGGGCCTAGCAATCTGTGTTTTCACAGACCCTCCAGGGAATTCGGATGCCCGCTGAAGTTTGAGAACTAGAGGTAAACTGTACCTTTCTGCAGGCAAGAACTTGGACCAAGGAGGGAGTGGGGAAATTAGGAAAAAAGGAAAGACAGAAAAAAAATGGAAAGCCAGGGAAAAACTATGGCTTGGCCCTACAATATACTCCCAGCCCTGAAACTTCCTAAGACTTGATGAACGTCTGTCCTTACCCCTTTACTTTCCATTCCTCTCCTTAACTGGAAATCAATCATTAGAAAAGATATTTGTTCTTTTCCCACAACCACTATTTAGCTTGGCAACCTCTGGGAACAAGACCCACTGGGCAGAGGGGTCACCACTGATTTCATCCTATTCTTAGTAGTCAGTTATTTTGCGACTCCTATTGACGTAACCTCAAGGTCAAATGGTCTGTATACACTAGAGTCAGGCCTGAGGAGGACTTTGAAGGCTTTCCCACACACCCTCGCCTTCCCTATTAATTAACTTGCACTTTAACACAACTGTTTCATCATACTCACACCCAATCTCTCACACTGTACATTCCAATCTATCAGTAACTCCTGTCAATTCAGCTTTTAAATATGTCCAATAGCCAACCAATTCTCATCCCCTCTACTGCCATCCCATATCATTCCTCACCTCAGTCATTATACTAGCTGCCTAACTGATCTACCTTCTTTAGAGAAAAGCCACGAAGTCCATCGGGCCTAGGTGGAGTTTCCTCTGTGACCTTCTCTACCACCACGCCTTGTTCTTTCTGCTCCAGTCCTACTAGCCTTTTTTTTTTTTTACTCTTTCTAAGACACATCAAGCTCAGGGCCTTTGCACTTGTTTTCCATTTCTGTAAGATGCTCTTCCCTCAGATATTCACAGAGGTTACTCTCTCAGTCATTCATTCAAGCCTCCACTTTAATGCTAGTAACTCAGAGAGGTTCTCCTTGACCCAGGAACGCAAACCATCACCTCTCTCTGCCACTTGCCCTTCATTATTTCTATTTCATATCACTTAGCATCATCTAGCATATATTTCTTTTTTTTTTTTTCTTTGAGACGGAGTCTCACTCTGTCGCCCAGGCTGGAATGCAGTGGCACGATCTGGGCTCACTGCAAGCTCCGCCTCCCAGGTTCACGCCATTCTCCTGCCTCAGCCTCCCGAGTAGCTGGGACTACAGGCACC